TTTGGCCTTCTACGATGACACTTTTTGGCCTTCTATGAGAATACCCTCTGGTCTTGTATAAGAAAAACTTCTGGTCTTCTATGAGTAGACACTATCTGTGTTCTCTTCTAAAAAAAGCCTCATGGTCTTCTTCTAAAAGAATACTTTCTAGTCTTCTATGAGTAGTTATGAGTCTTCTATGAAAAGTAAATTTTGCTATTTTTTTAGAAAAGGCCTTCCGCACTTCTATAAGGAGACTATCTCATCTTCTGTGTGAAACCCCACTGGTCTACCATAAGAAGATCTTCTACTCTTCTAGAAGATTTTCTGCTTCTCTCGAAGAAGATCTTCCACTTTTTTAGGAGAGAAGTGTTTCTTATCTAGAATAAGATCTTCTGCTTTCTTGTAGCTTTTCTCTTCTAGGAAAAAATATTCTTCTCTTCTGGGAGAAAATCTTCAGCTTCTCTAAAATAATATCCTCTGCTCCTTAAAGCGAGATTATTCTCCCTTTCTAGGAGAAGATATTTTTCTCTCCTTGGCGAAATTCTTCTGCTCTTTTAGGAATATATCTTCAGTCTTTCCTAAAAAAGATCTTCTGATATTCTAGGAAAAATCTTCTCTGGAAAGTCTGCCCTTTTAGGGGTGATCTTCATATATTTTTCAGACCTTCTTCCAAAAAAAAATCGATTGCTCTTTTAGGAGAAAATCTTCTACTCTTCTAGGAGATCTCCTGGGCTTTTAGCAGCCGAAATAGGTATGTGTACCCTGATTCTGGTAAAGTACTTTCTTTCTTTCTTCTTATGGGATAGACCCGGGTACCTGGATATTTGACCGGAATACCCGGTTCCAAATCCCTGATTAGGCTTGGGTCTACTATACCGATTTACACTATAATTTAAAATAACATGAAAATACCTTTCGAACATGTGAGGAACGAGATATTCAAAGCTTGTATTAAAACGACCCAAAAAACGAAAACTCCACAAAATACATCCATAAATAATGCAGTGTGTGTTGTTATCTTTCCAGGATCCGGAGGTATGGGTCTTTGAACCCACAAAACTTGATTCTGTTAAACCCATTGAAATGATGATTTGAATATAAAAAAAGAAATTAGTTGGCGTGGTCGGTTATGGGAAAACACCAGAGGGTTAACTTTCTTTATGAAGATTTATTTGAGGTATAGCAATGGAATTGACAACTTAAGCCGACTAGGTTTTCTAAATCCCTTACAACGTAAAAGTTTCCAAATTATGCCTATATTGCCTATATCAGTTTACTAGATTCGGGTCTAACCAGAATTTTTAACCCGTACTTTTGGGTCAAATATTTGGGTACATAGATACATTACCCAGGAAAAAATACATGCCTCTTGTTTTTTTTTTTTTTCTTAGAAAAATTCAGAGAGTTTTTGTTAATCTAGAGTTAACCCTTGAAAATTGCTTGCATTGCAAAACGGGGTTAAGAACTGATTAATTAAATTAATGTTGGTAAATTTAGACTTAATATTCTTTAACAAGTTAAAAAGCAGTTAAAATTTTAAAAATACCGAATATAGTCGCTATATTGGGGTCTATACGACGTGGACATACATAGGCATTGTTTGTCATAAGCCATTACCATATTCAAATTCGAAACTTGAAATAAACGGTGGATAATGTAGCTAAAATCATCAAAATATCGTATATAAGGAGGTGCCTTTAAATTGGAGCTGTGCGAAGACCTAGGCCAACATATACAATTTTCTGTCACAGGCTGTAGCATCTATTACGAACTTCAAATACCACATCTCAAACAATTTCGGTGGGTATTGTACCTAAAATCGTCAAAATACCGAATATAGGGAGGTGTTGATATATGGGGCCTATACGAAGACCTGGACCCGCACAAACAATTTTCTGTCACAGACTGTAGTTCCCATAACGAACTTCAAATACCAATTTTGAAACAATTCCCGTGAATAATGTCACTAAAATCATCAAAATACCGAATATCGGGAGGTACCGTTATATGGGAGCTATACGAAGACGTGGACCTGCACAGACAATTTTCCGTCTTAGGGTGTAGTATCCATTTTGAACTTCAAATACCAAATTTGAAACAATTCCCGTGAATAATGTCGCTAAAATCATCAAAATACCGAATATCGGGAGGTACCGTTATATGGGAGCTATATGATAACGTGGACCTACATGGCCCATTTACGAACTTAACCCATTAGTGGGCAGTGTCCCTTATAAGGGACTCTCACATTTTCCACTGTAGCACTTTCCAATGCTCGTTTTTTTTGTAAACAAGTAGGCTATGCCATTACTGACACTCCAACGAATTATGTTCTATCCCATTCGTTTAATTTCTTGCGAGTTGCGTGTTGTATTTTGTGCAAAATATGGAAAACCAATTTCTGAAAAAACAAAAATCTCGAGCTGGGTAAGTAAAATTTCAATAAAGTTATGATTCTGTGAATATTTATGATTGTGTTTGTATTGTTATTTGTAAGTAAGTGTAATAAACTAGTTTATGCCCAAAAAATAAAATAAATTGTTGTGACACGTGCATAAAGTGACTATGAATGCAACGTCCCCTTAGAGGGACACTGCGCCCGTAGTACAATTGTAATCCACTGATTGAGTAATAAATCTTATATGTGCAGACTTACAGTTTCTGAAATACTTAATGAATTGGATGCTATTGGCGATAATGAGTTGCACGACATTGAAATTTACGCGACCCCACCAATAGATGGTGCCGATACCGCTCTAGAATCAGGCAAAAAAATAGTGTTGGCCCATATTTGCATATTTGCCTGATGCGTCAGTAGTGAATGCATGGCTGTTAATGAAGAAGTTACATCCCAATGATCCGGCATGTTCAACTCTTCTAAATTTTCGCCGTTATATTGCAACATCATGTCTGGAATCGTATGGTACCCCAGCATCAAGAGGTTTGCGCAATAGCAATGTCACTGCAGATACAAGATATGATGGCAGAAACCACATTATTGAATATTCAAAAACAGATAAACGGTGTGGATTATATGGCAAAAAGTCTAATTTTATTTGTCAGAAGTGTGACAAAGGTCTCCACCCTAAAAATTGCTTTAAGGAATATCATAAGCCAAGTGTACCCAATGCGCAGCGTCCCTTATAAGGGACGGCCCATAACTCCAAAACCATAAGCTTTTTTGAATAAATTGTTTTTAAAACAAATTAACTATACCATTTTTATTTGTAATTGGTGTAAATCGCTTAAAGGTAGTGCCCAGGGAACTTCGTCCACTAATGGGTTAACCTGCCTACTGGAAAAATAAACATGTGTGCAAAATTTTAGCATTCTATCTCAATTCATTCGAAAGATAGCGTGATTACAACAGACAGACAGACATACAGACAGACAGACAGACGGACATCGCTCAATCGACTTAGAATTTTACGCTGATCAAAAATATATACTTTGTTGGGTCTGATATGAGTATTTCGAGGAGTTACAAACGGAATGACAAAGTTAATATACCCTCCATAGTATGGTGGAGGGTATAAAAAAAACCTATCCGGCATATTTTTGCCATACATAAACATCCTTAAATTGTAAAAAATATTATTCTTAGAATTTCAGTGTTCAATATCCACACAAGGTAGGTACGCTGACGTTTGTATGTACATACATACGTATATATGTATATAAACACACAAATAATAAACGTGGCGGTGTTTTTTTTTTTTTTTTTTTTTGTTACACTCAATTTCCGTATTTCAATCTGCCATACTAGCTATGAGCATCTCAATCTTGTCCCCAAGTCAGTCATTCAGTCAGTCCACCACCTGTCCTTTTGTTTGCACTTTACATTGGATTTATTAACGGCAAACCAAGAAACAAAAACACAACAACGACAACAAAAAACTACGTCCAGAATTAATCATTGCCAATCATTGTCCGAAAAGTTGATTAACCCTCCAACGAAATCAAGGTGGGAGCGCGGTGACGCTCCGACCGTATCGAGTTATGCGTCAGCCTGTTATACATTATTCTACTCATGATAAATACAATTTTGTTTGTAATTAACTTTTGTGATAATATTTTAATTTCACTTTTTTTCGCTCTTCCACTGTGTTTTTTGTTCGTTTATTTTTGCTTGAATGGCAATCAAAAGCATTTAACAAAAAAACAAAAACAATGAACGATTTTTTCTTAGTTTCAATTGTTGTTGTTGCTGCTACTACTGCTCACTCGTTGGCTTGCTTGAATTATTTATAAATATTTGAGTTGATTAATAACACAGAAAAATAAACATCTTCTTGCTGATACAAACAGAGACACGCACACACACACACATGCTCACACTCCGGCGATTACACCCCATGTGAGCGGCAGAGATGTGTCTGAGAGATATTGGCAAACATTGAATCTTTTTTTCGGTAAAGAAAACAATAAAAATGCTTCGGTAATCTCTTGTTTTCGATTCCATCACTGTGACGCTCTCTCACTCTCTTTGAAAGATAATTTGAAGAGATTTCCAGTTTTGGCAACATTTTAAGAGTAAGTGTGCTCTTAATTTTCTTATATTGGGGATTTGCTCTTAATTTCCTCTTTTTCATGAAGGTTTTGGGGGTGAGAGAGAAGAGAGGAAGAGTCCCCCTATTTCAGTATTGTTATTGCATTTTTGCATTAGTTTTGCCTTGCCTTAGCATTGTGTTTGTTTGCCTGTGTGTGAGTCACTGCATGTAATGAAGGCTGCGGGAGCATGTAAGCTTTGCTCTCTTTCTCCCTCACTCTGTAATGCTCTTTTACATTGTGTTATGTTGGTTGGGGGATTTTGTTATTGTTTTGTGCCGTTGGTTTTTCTCTCTCTGCTATACAGAGCAATTGAATTGCTCCCGTTTGTTGTGTGTGCGTGTGATTGTTGTATTTTTTCTTTTGCTGTCTTGCCCTGTGGAGAAAACAGGCAAAGAGTGCAGGCCGTTGTGCCGTTGTCGTTATCGACTGTAACAGCCAGCCGCCTGCCTGCCTGTTGTATGTTGTGTATTCAGTCGGTTTGCCACAAGCAAACGAACCGAACATTTTCTTTTGAAACGGCAATACTCTGGTTCAGTTCAATGCGAACGTGAGAACGGTGTGGACGTGCCAAAAATACTACGCGGAACATCGTAATAATAATAAATAAAAAAAGACAGAAGAAAAAAATACAATTATAAACTGAAGACCAGCCACCAGCAAATTATAAAGAAAATTTACCCACTCACACAATTAAATAAATTAATTAAAAAGAAAACTATGCAAATGAGTGCAATTATTTATGAATATTAAAAAAAATATTGTTTTTAATTTTTTTTTTGAAAAAATCCAAACAAACTTCTCAAGAATTTTCAAAAGTCCTGGATTATTTTGAAAATTCCGTTTAACCACTACTCTCCCCCCTTATATGCAACAACACAAACTGTTAATAATTAACAGATAATTTATCTCAATTACAAAACAAAAGAAAAAAAAAACTTAAAAAGTTTTCTAAATTTTTTTGTTATTTAATGCAACCAAAAACATAATTGTGCAACAACAACAACAAAAAACGTTAATTTCAAATCTCAGAGATTTTGTTGAAAATTTCATGCAAAAAAAATCCTGGCTTTAAAAAAATTTGCCAACTACAAAAACAAAGTTTTCAGTTAAACTGTGATTTTTTCCAAACACACAAATAACAAAAACAACAATAAAAAAATCTCAAAAACATCACTGTGTTTTTTTTCTTGTTTTCTTCATATTTGCATTGCGTTTTTCAAATTGTGGTTTACCTTGCATTAGGCAGCAACAATCACTTTACAAAAACAACAACAACAAGAACCACAAGAAATTATTATCACAAAACTAAATTGAGGAATTAAGAGAGTGACGAAAAAAAACATTTGTGTTTCTGTTTTGATGTGATTTTGCAAAAAAAAAAAAAAAACAAAAACATTTTTTTGTTGTGGAAAAATCAAGTGGAAGTGGAAAAACCAGTTAACAAAATTATTGCATTTTCCCTTAACAACAACAACAAAAACACGAGAAATTCCCCAAAATTCTATCTCAAAGATACCCAACATCCGCAGCAAGAACAACAACAGCAAAACGTTAAAAGGAACAACAAACTCAAGGTATTTCCCCCATTTAACTGAGGAGTGACGTTACAAATTAAAAATCAAGCATAAAGAACCAAATACACGGCGGTGACGACTCGAGTAGTGGCGAAAAAAACCTACAACAACAACAAAAGCAACGCAAACTCAACACACTTCTTTACAACAGTTTGCTTTATCAAACATTAACACAACAAATCAAGAGAGTCAACCAACTGTTTGTAGTGAGAAAGGAAAAGAGAGAGGTCATATATCAAAGAGTAGCCACTTGGAAAACCCGTAACAACACACAACAGAGAGCTTACCAACTCACTTAGAACAAAGAAGAGCCAGAGGAAAGGCAGAAGGGGCATACGTGTGTGTGTGTGACAGTGTTTGGTGTGTTTTTTTTGCTGTGTGTGATAAGCAAACGACCCCAAACAAGAGTAAAATTAATTCAGTTAAACAAAACAAACTAACGGATTTTTCTTACAATTTGTTGTTCACTGGTTAAGCCACTCATTGCTCGCTCAAGTGGTGAGGAAGAGTTGTTTTGAATTGGGGAAAAGAGAAACTTAAAAGAAAACCCAACTTACCTCACAAAACAACGCCGCAGAACAGTAGCAGCAGCAGCTACAACACCAACAAAATGACCTTGCCCAGCATAACGCCCAACAATCAATGCGATGATGATTCCGATATGTTTGGACCACCACGTACCTCGCCACCAATTGGCTATCATCATCATCGATCGCGTGTGCCTATGATATCGCCAAAATTGCGTCAGCGTGAGGAGCGTAAACGCATACTCCAGCTATGCGCCCACAAATTGGAACGCATCAAGGATTCGGAAACCAATCTGAGACGCAGTGTGTGCATTAATAACACCTATTGTCGTCTAACCGATGAATTGAGACGTGAAAAGCAATCCCGTTATTTGGCCAACTTACCAAGGTAAGTGCAAAAAAATGAAAAAAAAAACACAAAACAACAACAAAACCGTGATATTTTAGTTAAACAAAAAAGCAAAGCAAGCAAATGGGAAAACTGGTTGCAAGTTTTCCTCAATCCACAAAACGCCATACATATCAATATGTCGCTGTGCCAGCCAGCCAAGCCGTCTGTCTGTCCGTCCGCATAAAGTGTAAACGATTGCCAATGCCATAATGATTAAAGAAGCAGAAAGAGCAACAACAACAAAAAATACAACCATGCATACATTACAACAAAATTTTGTGCGTTTTGTGTAATTGTGTGGATTTATTTTTCGCTGGCTGACAAACAGACAGACAAACCGACTGCTAGACTGGGTTTCCTCAAGCCAGCAGGCAAACCAACCAGGCCAGCCTAGCTACTATAGTGAAAAATATATAGCTTAAGCGATAACAAAACCAACATTATGAAAAATAAGTAGAAGAAGAAGAAGACAAACACAGCAAATAAAACAAGGAAGAAGCAATTCAATGTATTTGTTGTTCAAAATTTTATAGCTTTTAATTTTTTTTTTTTTGAGGTTAGGTAATGACAAAGACGAGACAACACAAACAAAGCCATAATCACTCAGAGAAAAAAATTGTAGTTACCTATCTAATAATATAAAATAAATTGAAAGCCAGTGTTGGCGTTTTTCATTTTGGATATTTCATCATTTTCGTTGTTGTTGTTGTAGCAGTGTTGTATTTGACTGAAGGTTGGTTGAGGAAGACCACAGCAACAACAACATTAAATGAATGAATGAATTATGCCAACCAAGCATTGTGATTTTTTTAAGTTTTCTTCAAGTGAGGGAATTAATTAATTGCAAATCAGTTAACCAAAAAATAAATAATTTTTCAAAAATTAGAAATACGGAATAACAAAAATTGTTAAAAATTAAAAAAATATTTAAATTTAAGGATTTTGTATGAAAAATCAATTTAATTAAAAAAATTGAAAATCAATATTATTGAAAAATTTAAATTAAAAAAATATAACACTGTGCTACCGAAAATTCAAATAAAATAAAAAGTGATTAAAACAGTGAGGTTAAGGCTGAAAAAAGTGTATTAAGAATGTGTATCCATATTGAAAAAGATAATTAACTTTTCAAATGTGTCATAAAAAAGTGAGGTTATAAATCCGACAGCCATTCCCAGAGAGCCCATTGAGGTAATTTGAGCGACGCTGCATCAATTTTTCTTCAAATTGTTCTAGAAGTCTGAAATGTGTGTCGTATAACAACTTCAGTTTTCAAACATGTTATGCAACCTCACAAAAAATGAGGTTATGGCCCTAACAACATTTTTCAAGGTTTTTAAAAGAATTTTTACGGAAATATATAAAAAAAAAAATAAAATAAAAAAATTGATGACGAAATTGCACATTTCGGAAAATTTTAATAATTTGAAATATTCCACATACATTTTTTTATTAAATATGAAAATCTGAAAAAAAATTGTAAATTTTAAATTTAAAAATGTCCTTCATAAATCATATGAATGATTTATGAATGATAAGAAATAAATTAAAAATTGCCAGTATTAATTTTTAATTTATTTCTTAAAATATTTTCATATTTTGATAGTGGCGCCCAACGTGGAGTTCAAAAAAGTAAAATTCTTAAAATCATATAAAAACTCTCCTCATAAATCATAAGAATGAAATAAAATTGGTAATTCTTAATTTATTTCTTAAACTATTTTCATATTTGATAGTGGCGCCCAACGTGGAGTTAAAAAAAAGTAAAATCCTTAAGAAATCAAAAAAAAATTAAAAATCGTAGCATTTTATATTTTAAATAATTCTTTATTAAAAAATTCCCGAACATTGTTAAAAAATAAATAAAAAATAAGATTTTAAAAATTAAAAAAAAAATAATAGTCTGGGGAATTTTTTAAAAATGTTTTCTGTAGCACAGTATTATAACTACAGTTTTAAAATAATTTTAATATTTACATCTTTTTCCATTTAAAAAATATATTTTTTCAAAATGTTTTTTTTTTTCATTTTTCGCAAATGTTTAAGTCTCAAATGTGAAATTGTAATTATAGTAATAGTGTTTAGGCTGTAATTTTTCCAAAAATTGTAAATTTTTTCTCTTTTCCATTTCCAAAAATATTTTAAAAATGTTTTTCATTTTTCTCAATTTCCTCAAAGTTTCAAACCGAATGTGAAATTGTAAATATAGTCATAGCAATTAGGAAAATTAATTATAAAATAATGAATTTTCATAAAAAAAGAAATGTAACTTAAACTTTTTAGTTGAAAAACACTCTAATTTTTTTTATTATTTTCAATGAAAATAAAGAATGTTAACAGAAAAAATGAAAATTTTTAAATGATGGTAATATTTGAAGAACCCAAAGCTAAGTATGAAAGAGTTGGCAAGACTCTCTCCACTCTCTTTTAATTCGAAAAAAAAAATATTGAAAACATCAATTTCCTTTTATCCCCTTTTCTTATTGTTACCAACAGCGTTCCTTACAACCAAACAAACCCCTTAGAAAAAAAAAACGTGATATACCCATTACTTTAATTAATTTGCGTTAATTTTTCTCCCATCTACTTTTCACTATAATTTATTTTAAATGCCATAAAATGACGTCTACACACCGATACAAATATTAGCACAATTTAAAAAATCCATGCTATTTTACTTTGTTTATCGCCCGAGAGAGAGAGAGGGAGACACACACACTTACGCACACATGAACGATATGCGCCATGAATTATTAAGAATAATTTAATTATTGTTAATTTTTTTCTTCAATTCATTTTAAATTTGTCTTGCTTGCCTAGTTGACTAGCTGGCTGGCTGTCGGCAGCAAGCTAACAAGCTCTGCTATGCAAACAAACAATAATAGCAGCAGAAAAACAAGTAAGCAAAGGCTATAGTCGTGCGGGGCCGACCATGTGATACCCTACAACACTACAATAGATTAGAAGCCCCCTTATGTCCAAATCCATTTTGGAAGATTTCGCTTTTGAAATTATGTGACGGAGCACTGCCCAGATATTACCCTTAGCATTTTGACCAGGGACATTTGCCCAATATTTACGCAATCCGTCGTATTTTGCGATCGTCTCCAGAGGCAAGAGACTCCTCTGTATCTCCAAATTTAGACTCTTCTATACGATCTTCTTGTCTACGATATTTAGCTATATTCGTCAACGAAATCAGCAAAAAAGGCAGAAGTTCACATTTTGTGTATTTCGGCTATCGCCTGTACGTAATGTTGGTATTTTTCAGACAAAAGTAGTGGTCCATTCTACTTGCTGTTCCAAATTCTAACTTCATGCGAGATTTCGTGTCCTTTGGTTTCTACTTATGACCTTTATAACGGCTGCAAAATCAGGAAAATTTTTAGTTGTTAGTCCATTTCAACCCCTAAATATATTGCGGACATCTTTAAAAACAATATGCCAAGTTCTTCTGAGCCTAACCCTACCCTTTTCATGAGGATCGGACGATAATTGCAATATGTATATAATATCCCAAACCTGTGTTGTAAGGTGGAAAAATATTACAAAATGTACACCTTAATATTATAAGTCAAACTGAAAAAATCGCATGCGATAAAAAATATGAAAAATAAAAAAATGTCACAAAATACAAAAAATCTGTATTAAGATCATTTTTTGACTTATTTTTATGCGATTTTTTTAGATTTTATACTTTTATGTCAAGAGGGCGTTCTGAATTTACAAAATTTGTCAAAATCGGGCAAGCCATTCTTGAAATATAAGCATTCCATCTAACATTCCTCTCCTTTGTATATACACATTGTATATATTTCGCTATATATATCCTATATATTTACTATCGGCATCTACGTAACGGTCAGAATTGACCTGTTCAACTATTTATGACTTCGCCGGGACTAAAAATATTCGCGGTATAATGGAAATTTGACTTTTATTTAACACAAATGTTATAGTCTTTTTCACCCACTAAATATTACCCGATGACCATCAAAATCGGAAGGCTTCTGCCCAGCCCAAAGCTTTAGCCCCATGCTAATTTCCGCGTCGATTGGTCCATAATTGCGACCTGTAGAGCAACTGCAAAATCAAGAAATATTTCAGTTTCTGGTCCATTTCGACCCCTAAATATTGTGCGATCATCTCCAAAAGTAATAGGGTTCTATTCTGACCTTATCCCCACCTCCATTCTAAATTTCGTGACGATCGGGTCATAATTGCGACCTGTAGAGTGATTACAAATTAACATGGACAGACGGACAGACGGACAGACGGACGGACGGACATACATAGCTAGATCGACTCAGCTCGGCGAGCTAGGAAGATCCATATATACTTTCCTATGTGGGAAATCAATATTTCGTGGTGTTACATAATTTTTGGCCCAATCAAACTTATAATACCCCCAACACAAAGTGTTGTAGGGTATAATGATAATGCCAGGCATTCCAAGAAGAGAAAACCAATTCGAATTAAATCGTAAGCTTTTTATTCCAAACAGAATGGGTATCAGGAACCAATAACAGGAGAGGAGAGAAAATTCGACATTCGAAAAATTATAAAAAGGTGAAAATTTTCAGAACTAAATTCAAAATTAAAAAATGTATTTAAATTAAGATTAATTAATTATAATTAATTTAAAATTCAAGTACACCTATTTTTTTATTGATGGCGCCCAACGTGGGGTCCCCGTGTCAAGGTCTTTCACTACACAGGTTTTAAGTAAATTTAATGCGGAAACATCCTCCACTACATTCCTTCAAACCCAACATCCTAGATCTCCACAATTAAATTTTTATGTTCTTCCAATTGTGTAGGAGAAATTTGGGCATGATAATGACGATGGGTAAAAAGATTATAAATTCAGGCCAAGCTCATGCCAAAATTGCACACACACACAGATATTCATGCATATGTACATACATATAAACATGATTATTATTATCATCATCATCATCGTCGTCGACATATGAATATGTTTGCCAACAGTTTAA